AAAATTTTAAAATTAAAACACATATACACATAAGCGTAATGCCTATATTGACAATAGATCAGTGTATAATAAATGCTATTTAAAAATAACTTCTTAGGTGAGTATGCAGACAGGAAGAATGAAAGTATAAGTTGAATGATATGTGTTCGTGTTCCTACATATATGTAGCAAACATGTAGTATATAATATTTAATAACACTGTAAAAGAAATATAATACTATATTCACATTAAAATATATATGTATCAATCAGTCACTTTTATTAATAATTCGAAATTCTTAAAATAATCATTGATTTATAGTTTTATTATACATTATATCAAATATAATATATGCTGAAAATAGTTAAAATATGGCGATTTATCTCTCATGCAAAACTGAATTTTTGCATTCAAAGTTTTAAAGCATATATTGCAATAGCATATTATTTCATACTATCGATTATGTCGCTCAATAAAATGAAAAAATTGTAATATTTCGATAAGCTTTAAAGAAAAAATCAAATAAGAGAAGATCCAGACATAATCATTCATATACAAACATCCAATTCTTATAACATACCCACAGAGGGTGGTGCAGGTCGAGCAGGTGGCTTTGACGCTGTGTGAGTTGTGGCATGTGTAGTGGCAGCCACATTCTGTCTATTTTGTCGTGATGCTGTGTAGTATGATGCATAAGTAAAATAATGCTAAATAATGCTGCTCATTAGTTAAGATGATTTTTATTTACAAAAACTATTAATGATAACAGTATCGGTAATGGCTAGAAGATTGCTTACTTTCGTTCTTGAATACAATATATCTAGTTGTTATGCAATATATAATAGTTATAAAATTAATCAAGTCACAATATTGTATCTGCTGTGACCTATAGTACTTTTTATTAGTGTAAAGGTTTATATGAATCCCATGACAGTTTATAGATTCATAATGTGCACACATGTTTGAGTATCCTCTAAAGATTAAAACAACACATTAATTTAATTACCTGGTAAAGTCATTGGTGAAGCTGGTCTAATTTGATGTCCAGGTAGTGGTCCGTTTGATGGTGGTGGGCCTATAAGAGGACGTGGAATTGATCCAGCCATGGGCATTCCATCAATTAAAGGTTGTACCGGGACTGGTGGGGGCCCAGTTAAATTCACTAAAGAAGCAACATTATTGTGTGGGGGTATATTGGCAGCTCCATTTGTTAAATTTGACACACTATTATCACCTAAACACACATACAAATACAGTAAAGTGCATAGTGCATAATATTTAGTTAAAAGATTTTTTATTAAGTTTTAGCATGTATACTTACTAACAGAATGCGTCTTTAAGCTCAGCACCAGAATTGGTGGCAATGCTTTGGGAATTTCAAAGCCTCGTAATTTTAAATTAATTAATTTACAAGCAATGCTAAACTCGTTTATATCCATTTTACCATCTGCATCTGTATCTGACAAAGCCCTGCATAGAAATTATCATATTACATAGTTAATATATATATTAAAATACACGAAATTTAATTGTGAATAGTAATGATAAAAAATTTTACTTGTGAATCTTTGCTTTTAAAATAATAATATATCAATAATTAAAAGATTAAATATGGTTATATGTCATCATCATAAACATGAATATAAAATTGTAAAATGCCACAATTAACTTCCAGATCATTTAATAAACAATGGTAAATGTCAAAGTACACTAACAAAAGATATATATAATACCATATCTGCCCGAGTATCTTAGGTGAAAGTTGAGACTTAAGCAAAAACTCTTTTGCTTGTTCTCCAGTGACAACACCATTAATCGGCTTCAAAGACTCAAAATGCTCTCTGTACTTTGCACGCTCCCTGGGTTGGATCACCCAGGGATCCATACCTGGAAAAACAGACATTTCTTTTTGTTTTCCATAACACTTGACGAATGAATTTTTCTGAATGAAACTGCTGTTAGTTGCAACACAGTTAGCCACACAACGAATGACACGTGACAAATAAAAAATCATGAACGATTTCTGTTGTTTTCTTATTAGTTGCTGTCAACATGACAGATCAACTAGAGGATGAATTACAAGTCGGGAACAAAGGAGATAATTTACCTGGTGTTTGTGGGGTGGCCATCTCTGTTCACCCGTAGGTGACCACCGAGTTGAATCTGCAAGGAAAGAGAAACGGTGACTTTCACGGAAGCATTATCTCCGGAAACTCGGTCGGGATATGTGACGATTTCAAGGTTAGGTCACGGTGATCGATCCTGGCAGGAGTGACTCGAGATATACCTCACGAGAGAAGAATTGTCGAAACGCTATCAATTCAGCGTGGATTCAATCACGAATAAATCCAATTAACCAAATAAGCGCGGGGTCATGAACTTGAAGATTGATCGGGACCCTAACGCACACGTATACGGGCAGCAATTTTTCTCACACCAATGTATACGAACATACGACAGTGAGCCGCTTCCCTCGCTCGCGGACCCCTCTTAGACTTTACTGAACGAAACTCATGATTTTGTATCGTGACGTTAGCGATCTTCTTCCCGACGCAACGAATTCTGAAATTTTAGAACTTCACCGACGATACGCGGGTCGGCCCACATTGACTGACGTACATACGTCACTTTCACGACCTCGGCTATTTCCGGAAGTCTTCGGTTAGAATCGATAGCTCGCCCGAAACCGTTTCGTTGATCTTCGGCAAAGATCGCCCTTTCCGCAACCCCTTCGTTCAAATTTTCAGCTCTTCATTTTACGCAACAATATTTAAACTGATAATCGAACAATTATCGTACTTGAACATTAAACGTGTACATTATGAGTACGAATTGATAAACAATTTCTTTTTATTATTTAGCTTGGTTCAAATGCGTCATCTTTAACGCACACAGAGAGTAAATTAAAAGGAAGACTTTACAGCGAAAGAGAATAAACTATTATTTGAATACACTTATAAATTATTTAATAGAAGTCCCAATATGATGTAATATTGGAAATAAAAATTATAGAATATATTTTTATTATTGAATATATATAGTAATGCAGGGAACTAGAAAATTATTGTTAATAACATCTGTTCAAATGATAAGTATCCAAAATATTGTTTAGTTGGTATATGTATATAAACAGAGCGACAATTTATAGATTAATGGAAATAAAATAGAATGTATTTGAATGTTAACGGACTTATTTGAATTTGAAAGAGCGAAAATGCGACTTACTGAAACAGAATCGATTAATCGATATCAGCGAGGTATAGAATCACTTATCGAATGGCTCGGATGAAGATGCCACGTGCAGCACTAGAAATGTACCACTTTTGTGTGATAATGAGAGTACTTTTATTGATTCTAATTCGAGTTCGGGTTAGGTACCCGGCTACTCGAATATTCGGATGCTGTCCCATAGCTAACCCGAATAGACCGCGTAAAATCGAAATGTGTAAACGTTGTTGCCCATTCAATAATATTTATTACAAGGTGATACTTACCACTCAATGTTTAATAACTTTTTCTGCCATATACTGATAACAGTAACTCAACGTTTTCAATGTTTCCAAGAATTTTGTTTAAATAATGTTTAATAATAAGAAAACCCAAAGGAATAGATAATTACGACTGACAGAGTAATATGATACGCGATTCTTCCGATGGAGAACAGCTATGAAGTATGACACCAATGACCAGAAGTATAGTTGCTCTTAAAAAAATTAATATGAACTATTATAATAAGGAGACTGGTACTTGCATACTCAACTGTAGCGCCATAAATTAATTAATCTATCCTGGTTATAATAAAAAAACACTAAAATATTAATAAAACCAATAAAATTATATAAATTGCATCTAAATATTCTTTTCAAGGTGTATCAAGGATGAATTACTTCGACAATCGGAAATATCTCGTTTCAAATGTCCAACATTTCACGAGAATCCCCTGTATTCCTAAAAAGCGTAAATACTCGAGTAGTATACCGGTGCAACACTCAGACGGTAGAGTGGTATCTAAAGTAATACCCGCTCTCCCATGTGATTCTGGTGGCCAGTATATTCGTATATTAATGACACCAGTGATGAGTAGTGTGAATTATACAAAATTACAAGTGACCCGTACTTCACGACGTCCTTGATGGTATCTGTTTCGTGCTCACTATACATAGGTGCACACGACCTGGAAATTACAAAGCACCATTTCATTGTCAGTTAAGCGCGTGCGAACGTTCGAACTGGAACACGTAGCGAGCGAAATATACGCGATTCGGACGTATGGAAAAACGCCATCGAGAAGTATGAAAACGGTCATTCCGCGAAGTGAACGAGGTTATACGGTCTTGGTATTCTTTCGATTATACTCAATTCCTTTTTTACACGAATGTAAAAACATATATTATACCCATGGAGAAATAGAGATCAGTCCAATAACCTATGGAAACCAGCCAAAATAATTTCCAAAAAAGTTAATTACCAATGAATATTTTTTTTCAACTTTAGGTGATTTTGTAAAATAAAAATTATGTAAAAATTTAATTTGGTATGTTAGAGGAGATCCGGAGTTTTTGGTTATCGAAACGGAAGTGACAGATGGAGTGTAGAATTGACCGGGTCTTCCACAATCGATAACGTACGGTGTGCAACGTTCGAATATTTGCGTCTTTCCAGATACCGCGTTTTCTGAATTCAAACGGTGTATCGTGTTTTTCAAAGTCGAATAAAACCATAGTTGAACGATGTGATGACGGGAATTTAAGATGTTTTATAGAATGACGTGTTGCTCTGAGCGACACGATCCAATGTAAGTGACAATTGATCGTGACGTGATTATTCGTAATCGATGGCGGTGCGAGCGGATCGACTGAGTTTCATCGTATTAACAACCCGGGTATGTTTTATTATATTCTTTATTTTCAACATTTAAAATTATACAAAAAAGGAAAGAGTTGTGTGCATTTTGTTCAATCCCTCTAATTATAATCAAGAACATAGTAATTACTAGGTGATAAAACAAAATATATATTTTAATATTTATCACTGAGACATAGAAAACGTGCAGTTGTAAAGGTCACAACTCTGTGAATTTATCGCTTTGAACGCACAGGACTGTGGGTAAAACGGCTTCAAATTTTAACCGTTCTTAAGTCGTTCCTTACTTATCTTTCTTGCACGATTTTAAACGTCTATCTGTTGATACTGCCATTCGTGTTAACTAGGTAGTTAAACTTTGCTTTGCGGTTGCATTATCGCTTCCACATGTTTACTTATCGGCAGAGTTCTCCGGTAGCTTCTATGCGAGTAAAGGCGACGAAAAACGTTTCATATTTAGGGTAACAGAAATCAAAATTATGTATTATAAATGAAAATACAAATATTATTAAAGTTCCTGAAATTTACGGTTCATATTTGGGCGCATATTGTTTATAAATTATTTACTTATTTTAAACGTTCACTGAGAAAGGATAAGAGTTAACCCTTTACGATCCAAAGTGTTCTTGGTTTTCCATTTCAAAGTTTGCATCAATATGATTTAACTCGATTATACTTCAATATGATACTTTCGCAATTTATTTATGTACATATGGGTGGCATTTAAATTGTACTTATACAGGATATTATGATATCATAATTATATATTTACGATATACATATGAATAATTATAGTAAAAATTACTAAAATACTCAATTACGGCATAAAATCGAATGTTGAGTCTGCCTCAACATTAGGCCACAAAGGGTTAACGCATCTACCGTAATACCCATATACATAAGTCTCAACAAGCCATTGTTTGGATAGAGGAATGTTAACGGTACCGTCGCGTTTATGTATTGTACGACGCGTTTGACGGTCCCGTCACAATGTTGTCGCACAACCCGCCACTAGTCCCATTCAGAGCGTGCACTGTTAATGTAAGGCGATTACGCGTTTGTCACTAGTCAATGCCAATCGTTTCAAGTGGAGCCAGCAGTGTTACACGTTCAACTCTTACAGCCAGGAATTACGCCCATGAACCGACGCACTAGGACGCCGCGCTTAACCTGCCAGAAAGAAAGGGGTGAAGAGCACGTGTCCCATGATCGCGACGGCATTCAAACCAACCACGTTCCTTCATTGATACCATATCTCGTATTGATCGTGCCACGGCAATAAAGGGCAAGGGTATCACACGCTAACATTAAATTTCATATCACAAGCATACACCGACGACTGGAAGGGACATACGCATTTTTACATTCCTCATGTTCCTGTGTGGTAGGTACCGTGTACTTTCTCAGCCAATAACATAGGGTTCAGCGGGAAACGAGAACATTAATGCAAACATGGCGTACTTTAATTTTTGAAATTTGATACCTTGAATAGAATTGTGGAAAGAAAGACAAGAATGAAACAATTGGACGAATAATAATAATGTTATATAAGAATATAATATATTGTATATAAGGATAAGAGTTACTCTTATTGATCGTGTTACTCTTATTTCATACTGCATCGTTTGCACGGGAGCAATGGTCTTCATCGTGTTAACTTAATTCGTTTACTTGAAACAACCAACTGTTTAAACTGAAGGCAATCATGCGTTTCTCGCAGTGTCATCAAACGACATTATCCACATGAATCAATAATCAACCGCGTGAACATGAAACATGACAAGAGGTCAAGTGCAACTATACTCAGTGCACAACTTCTAACATGCCAGTAGCTTTTCTATCCTGGTGAATTTTGTTATTGATCGAGCAATCTGAGTTGTTTTTGTTAGTATAATTCTTTTAATAGAAATTCACCACTGATATTTTATTTTTTATAGATTCGTTTTAAATATGAATAGATAATTGTTAATTAGGATTAATACCAAAGTTGTTCAAGTTAAAATGGATTACACGAATATATGCAAAATTGAAAATTTTCGTGGTTAGTCTGTTTCATTGATAACGAAAATATTCAAGGTGAACAAATCGCACGGCCCACCCTATATGACGCATAACATCAAACTACAATAGATGAAATATATCGTTCATATCTATTAAGTAGTCTATGTAACGGTAAAACCGTTCAAGGTTCAAGCATTCAAAAATCGATTTACCATGTACAAATAATTCAAAGCGTGTTCCGCAGTCAAGAACAACTATCAGATCAAGATCAACTCTCCCAAAGGACCATTGAAATGTAATAATTTCTATTTGCAAAAGCAGCTATCTCAATTAAAAATACTTATGCATTGTAAACCACCCAAAAATTGCTTCATCTCATACATATAACCCAAGATACATTTAATGAAAATTTCGTCTAACAACATCAACGAACATCCTAACATTTTTTTTATTAATTAAAATCCTTTGGATGTAGAATCACAAAAGTGTATTTATTTGTTTTCGTTTCCTTATTCTCTGTGCACTTAAATTAAAATTATTACTATGTATATAAATAAAGCGTGTGTGTATGTATAGACGGTATTCCATAAAATTTGTGAATCGCCCAGGCCGCCATCTTCCGATGGCTTTGGAAAACGTTCAGTAGCGCAGGGTCTTCGACCCGTCCCCTCTGCTCACGCGTGTGTTTTTGACGTTTTGCCGTGGATCACGAGCCCCGTACTCCGTCTTCTTGATGACCAGCGAGACCTGCGATCCCATGACAGACATAGGCAAG